TGGGAACAGGAAGAACACGAAGTGGCCTACAGTTGGCTCCGGGGTTTCAAAATGTGGCCCGGGAATGGTGTTCTGGGAACACGAAGAACACGAAGTTGCCTAGAGTTGGCTCCGGGCATGCACAATGTGGCCCGGGAATGGCGTTCTGGCAGCGCGAGAGCCCAAAAGTGACGACAGTTACAAGGCTTGGATGACCCGCTCGGATTACCAACATGATCTGCGGGCCCCATAGGGAGGGTGCTCCCGCCTGAGACTTCCTCACAATTCACTCACAGACGAGGCTCCCGCCTGAGACTTCCTCCAAATTCAGGCCTGAGGAACCCAAAAGTGACGACAGTTACAGGGTTTGGATGACCCGCTTGGATTACCAACATGAAACGCGGGCCCCATAGGGAGGGGTTCCCGTTTGTGACTTCCTCGCAATTCACTCACAGACGAGGCTCCCGCCTGAGACCTCCTCTGTACTCAAGATGATGAGCCCAAAAGTGACGACAGTTACAAGGCTTGGATGACCCGCTCGGATTACCAACATGATCTGCGGGCCCCATATGGAGGGGGTTCCCGCCTGAGACTTCCTCACAATTCACTCACAGACGAGGCTCCCGCCTGAGACTTCCTCCAAATTCAGGCCCGAAGAGCCCAAAAGTGACGACAGTTACAAGGTTTGGATGACCCGCTCGGATTACCAACATCAAGCGCGGGCCCCATAGGGAGGGGTTCCCGCCTGTGACTTCCTCGCAATTCACTCACAGACGAAGCTCCCGCCTGAGACTTCCTCCGCACTCAAGCTTGAGGAACCCAAAAGTGACGACAGTTACAAGGCTTGGATGACCCGCTCGGATTACCAACATGATCTGCGGGACCCATAGGGAGGGGGCTCCCGCCTGAGACTTCCTCACAATTCACTCACAGACGAACTCCCGCCTGAGACTTCCTCCAGGTGAGTATGTGAATGAGTGAGCGCGTGACAGAGTGCGAATGATGATGATGATGATAAGGATGATGATGATGATGATGATGATGATCAGTGTGTGAGTGACTGAGCGTGTGAGAGAGCGCGAGTGATGATGCTGATGTTGATGATGAGAGAGTGTGAGTGTGAGTGTGAGTGAGTGGTGATGATGATGAGTGAGAAAGTGAGTGTGCGAAGGCAGAAGAGGAGAGGGGGTGGGGTGAGTGTTCCTGCGCGGGGTGTGCAGAGAAAACAAGAACCCCACTTTGGATGTGGGGAAAAACAGATCCCCCACACCCTCGATACCCGCCCTTTTTTGTTTTCGATCACACCCCCTTTGGGGGGATTCGTTCTCTGTGCGGGGGGCGGCGGGCTTAGACAGGCGGGCAAACCTGAACGGCCGGACAATCCGTCGTGGGCGTACATGTGCCCGCCATTGCAAATGGTGCGGGCCCTGCAAAAAGACTAGGGGGAGAACGAGGGAGAGTGGGAGGAAGAGAGGGACAGGGACGAAGGAAGAGGGAAAACGCCAGGAGAGGAGGAGCGAAGAGGGGGGCGGTTGATTAGAGACAGAGAGAGAGAGAGAGAGAGAGAAATAACAAAAAAGACTAATAAGAGAGGTAGAGAAAGAGAGTGAGAGGGGAGAGAGAGAGAGAGAGAGAGAGAAAAAAAAAAAAAAAAAGGGAGGGAGGAGGCAGGAGAGGGGAGGGAGAAGGGAGGAGGGAGGGGAGGGAGACGGCATAGGGCAGAGAGGCATAAGGATGAGGGAAGAGAAGAGGGAGAGAGACGGGAGGAGAGGAAGGAGGAGGGAGGAGGGAGGAGGGAGGAGGGAGGAGGGAGAGGGAGGAGGAGCAGGAAGGTAAGAGCGTGAACGTTCGAGGAAATCCTGGGCGAAAGCGCCGCTCCTGAAGTTAAGTCTCGGGCGGGAGCCCACGACGGGCGGGCGATCCCTTGACGGGCGGGTCGGGCGGGTGGGACAGTCAAGCGGGATACCTGAATATGGCGATAGCGCGATTACTAAGTAAATTGTAGCGGCGTCCTTGGCGCAGCGTGTTTCCTGAGCGTCGAAGGCGCGAGTTCTGAATAAATCGCATGGAAATCACAGGCGAGAGAGCAATTCCTAAATTAAATGTGAAGGGCTCTCTGGCGGGAGCGGGGGTCTTGATTAAATTGCGAAGAAGTCTTGACTCAATTACAAGGAAGTCTCAAGCGGGAGCGCTTTTCCTGAGTAAATTCTAAGGAAGTCTGAGATGGGAGCGGGGGTCCTGACTAACTGGCGAGGAAGTCACATGCGGGAGCACCGATCCTGAGTAAATTGTAAGGAAGTCTCAGGAGCGGGGGTCCTGAGTAAGTTTGGAGGAAATCTCAGGCGGGAGCCGTTGTTGTTGTTGTAATCCGGTGGGCCAGGGGCCCAGTTTTAGCAGGAAGGCTGTCCCTATCCAAAAACCGTGTGCGAGCGTCGAGGGGCACACTTTGATTGAGAAAAAACAGCATGCACCGGTGAGGAGGATCAGAAATCATTATTCTTCGGAAGTGGGAACTCCACAACAAGAACAACAACAATCATGTTAAGACTCTTCGCCCTTAGTTGCTCGAGTGTCCAATAACGCGTATTCCCCAAACCCTCGATACCCGCCCTCTTCGTCTTCGGTCGAACCCCTTTGGGGGGTATACCTTTCTTCCCTGCAGGCCGGGCTCCGGCAAGCGGCGGGGCGGCCGCGGACCGTCGGCCTGGCCAGCGGCAGCGCTGATCGGCGGGGCGGCCGCGGACCGTCGACCCGACCCCAAGAGGGACGGACAGGGGACCGACGACGACGACGACGACGACGACGACGACGTCGAAGACGACGGCGACGACGACGACGACGGCGTCGACGAGCGAAAGCGAGAGCGAGAGAGAACGACAGCAGGGCCACGAAGGGCACGAAGTAGGCCACGAAGGGCGACAGCGGGGACACGAAGGGAATGCGTATGGGGCCACGAAGAGCGCGAACGAGCGGGGGCCACGAAGTGCAGATAATGCGGGGCCACAGAAGGCAACTATGGGGCCACTGAGGGTAGCAACTGGGCCACGTAGGACAGTGAGGGGGACACACATGGCGACAGCGGGGCCACGAAGGGCATGCACATGGGGCCACAACGGGCGCGACTCCTGGGTGTCTGGGTGTCGGGAGCGCGGCGCTTGGGCAAATTGCAAGAAATTCCAACGCAAGGCCATTCTTCAGTAAGTTGCAAGCAAGTCTCCAGCGAGAGCGCGACTCCAAGCGATTCTTAAATATATTGTAAGGAAGTCCCAAGCGAGAGCGCGATTCCTGAATAAAATGCAAGGAATTCTCGGGCGGGAGCGGGGGCCCTGGCTAAATTGTAAGGAAGTCTCAAGCGGAAGCCGTTGTTGCTGTAACCTGGGGGCCAGGGGCCCAGTTTGAGCAGGAAAACTTTCCCTGTCAAAAAACCGGGTGCAAGCGTCGAGGGACACACTTTGATTGAGAAAAAAATATGCGCCGGTGGGGGGGATCAACAATAATTGTTCTTCAGAAATGCGAATTCAACAACAACAACAACAACAAAAACAAAAACAAAAAACAACAACAACA